GGTTAACAGGGATGCTTTAAAATAATTCCAAGCCCCAATTGGAGATAGCTAAACTCATAGACTCTCAAGATTATTTTAAGGCTATAAAGACAATATTCAAAACAAACTCTATATTGATAAAACAATTTTCCATTGTGACAATATTTAAGTGATATTTTTGCACGGTAAGTGCCACTCAGAAGCTTTCAACTTCATCGAAAACTATTTTTTGTTCTCTTATAGGTACTTTTTCTAGCTCTTTCAATGTTTGACACCTTAACGGGCATCTGCCTATATTTTGTCAGTTCTGCTTGTCAGTTTGCAGACCAATTTCTGATATATTCCATATATTTTACTTCCATTAACATTTTTCAAGTGAAATGTCTCCTTCTTATTTGGGATGACTTTGACTTTGCATTTACTCTTTCAATTTTCTTGCATAAAAGCTCAGGGAAATCTATATTTTCTATTTGGAAAGATATTTTATCCATTTAGATAAAAATTCCTTTCTATATCTTCCGTAGAAAACACCACGTTTCTTTTTATTTTGCTCTTGCCTTTTTTATTATTTTTTTTGCCTCAAATTCTTTTGCTAAAAGCCCTACAAAGATCTATTTTCTCTTGTTTAGGGAGTGGTGAAGATATTTTTAACCCTTCTGAGGTCTGCTTTTGCTGAAACTTAACTGGACAACTTTTTGCATCACCGGATAGAAGAGTTGTGTTTGCCCTCATGTGGGGGAAATATCTTAAAGCAATGCAATCCAATTCATGAGGTTTCAGATTCAGTTTTCCCATGGGAGCTGATAGTCAGGGTCTACATGTGACATTTATATACATGAAAATGGGGAAACCATTGAAATCCTGTGTGGACACAGCCTCAGATTCCTAGAGTCTGTCTCTGCTGTACCAACTGGATCACGTATGTGATTACAAAGAAAATTTTAACTGTGTCTCACAGGGAAACATTATTCCCTTGGTGATTCTGGGATTTTAGAATGAATTCATGGCAAGTTGACTTGCTGGCTGCTAACTAGTATTAAAAGCTTTGTAGACAATTATTAAAGAAAATACTTTAGGACAAAGTTAATGTATTTTCACTGCAGATGATATGAAAATAAACCCATAAGTAAAAAAAAGAAATCACCTATAATATCTGAGTCTACCCACAATAATTTCTTCAAAATAATTACTTTTTTAAAGAAAGAAGTCAGCAACTTTCCTTTTCTCCCTCACAGGCCACACTGTATTTGTGGTTTTATATCTTTTTTTAAAGAATTTTATCCTGTGAACATTTTTTAAGATCAAATATCTCAAAGAACTATGAAACAAAAATATATCAATATACCCCCAAATATCTTAAAGTACAATGTCCCTATCCCTCACCTATATTTGTCCTATTTTCTTGTAACCTAAATATTTATGAAATTTAGGAGATTTCCCCCCATTATATTTATATCCACTGGAATCCTAGGAAAATAAAAAAAAAATTACTCTTCATTATGATCATTTTCCTTATCAACTATCAAAATTAATTGCATACCAAAAATAATTTACAGACATTACAGAATAAGTTTATGTAAATACAAAGTAAAGTTTAACATTCAACATTTGTCAAGTGAAGAGAGTTTTTGTATATAATAAATACAAATTGTTACACCTATATAGTTTTCAAGGGCATTTCTAAATGTTCTTTTTTTAAATTATAAAATGTTTTATTTGTACATAATATTTGTATGTATTTATGGTGTACATAAGATATTTTGTTACATGTATAAAGTGTGTTATGGTCAAATCAGGGTATTTAGGGTATCCATCACCTCAAGTATTTATCATTTCTGTGTGTTGGGAACATTTCAAGTCTTCTATTCTTGCTTTTTTTTTTTTTGTTACAGGGTATTGTTCTGTTGTCCAGGCTAGAGTAGTATTGACATCATAGCTCATAGCTCACTGCAACCTCAAACTCCTGGACTCAAGCAATCCTCCCGCCTCAGCCTCCTGAGTAGCTGGAACTACAGGCATATGCCACTGTTCGCAGCTAATTCTTCTATTTTATTTATTTATTTAATTTTAGGATATTATGAGGTTACAAACATTTTGGTTAATTTTATATCTTTGCCTCACCCAAGCAAGAATTAGAGGCATGCTCTTCCCTTCTACAATGCTCACATGGCAGCCATTAGTTGTGAGTATTCTCCCAACCAATCCCCTAATCCCTGGAGAATATTACTACCATGTAAGCACCAGAACTTTCAATATAAAACATATATAAATGTCTAAATGTCTTAGTACCTGTGTATAAAGAATAAAGTGTAACAGGTTCAATTAATTTTAATTATATTTAACCCAATGCACTAAACATTTTGTCATCTCAGCATATAATCAATATAAAAGTTATTCATGAGATATTTTTTTGCACTAAGTCTTTGAATGCCATTTTTTTTGTTCTACCTTTATAACAAATCTGAGTTTGGACTAGTCAAAATTCAAGTGCTCAATAGTGACATGTGCGTAGTGGTTACCATATTGGGCAGTTCACATATAAAATGTTTTCCTTTAAGTGGAAAATAAGTTTCAAATGGGAAACATCAACCTCTACTTCAGAAAAAAATTTTAAGTTTGAGAAATGAAATATTTTTTTAATGCTTCCATAGTTTTTTCCCCCCTAAGGAATAGTTTTTTCTAATATCCAATTTTAATAGCCATGCATACCAAATGATAATGATACTCTAAGCTCAGTTTTGTAATATTTGACAGAAGTAATTTATCTTTAATACATACAAATTCGATGTAGGTTTTCATTGTTTATACTAGTACTCTTTAAATATTTAAAGTATTTCATAATTATTAAAAACATAGATCACTGGCTTATTTAGCAAATATTTTGTATTATTAAAACTATACAGCTCTGTGAAACACCAAAATGCTAATGCTAAAATAAAACGTCAAAATTTTAAGTTCAAAGACAATCTACAATAACCATGAAATTAAGGATGATGTGTTTAAATTTTAACAAAATCTAACCTGTCAAAAAAGCAACACTAAATATCACCTGTTATCTATGATTATTTTACTAAAATTTGCAAAAGTAATGATTGCAAATGAAGGAGGAAGGCAGGTTGCCCTTTTTTTTAACTGAAGAGAAGAAAGAATTTAAAAACAATTATGAAAACAGTAAACTATATAAAATGTTGTTTTTATGCTTATTAGGTTCAATAATTTGATATACACTGCTATCTAATCCTTAAAATTTCTCTGATTCCCATTTTACTCATTTATATATTATGGTAGCTTTCTGCCTAGCTGACAGGATGGTTGAAGAAACAGTGCATATAATAACAGACATTTTATGTTTATTTATTATATTTCTCTGAGCTTCAGTTTCCTTCTCTGTAAAGTAGAATGATCACATTCTTGAATGTATCATTTTTTGGTATATATATAACTTGAATCTTTACTAAGTGCCTATTAACATCTTGATTAAACATTAAAAATTAAATTGAAAATGCCTCACATTTTGTTGTTTTTTTTTTACCTAAAATTCAGAAGACATTCCTCATTATTTTTGTCTCCACTTGAATTAAACTAAAAAAGAAATAGTGACACTTTCTCCTCATCCAGTGGGTGCTACTTGGTATGAGGATTTAATGAGAAGATGCAATAGAAAACTCTTTTAGGCATGCACAATGTTGTGAAAACGTGAAGATTATCTTTGTGAAAAATGTGTTCTGCCATTTGGAGACCAAGAAATAATATCACTCTTCTGCCTTTATCCTTCATTTGTCTTCCACTGGGCATCTTGAAGTAGGAAGCAATGTGTATATTTCACCCAAAGAAAACAGTGAGAAACTGATTCTATATTCCCTGGATGAGTTTTACACTTTACAGTAGCTGACACTAAACAACTTGGCTGTACCACATGCCTGCTCAAGCTGATCAGTAGTAAGGTCTGATTATTCAAAAAAAAAAAAAAAAAAACTTTCCAAGATGTCATGTCAATTTTTGTTGTTCTGGAAACTAAAAATGTATGCAGGGAATTTTAACATTGCCTATTTAAGTAGGTATGAAATTCCTTTTGGAAAGAAAGATTAGTCAGTCTCAAGAGAGAGTTTTCAGCTTGGGAATGATGGCTCAACTATGTTCTTTATTGATGTTATGCCTATTTGCAAAGTTTGTTTTTAACATTGCTCAGTGTGCAGACTGAATAGGGGGGACCCAAGCACTCATCTGTGTATGTTTACAGTACCCAGTCAATTTGTATTAATAAAGATTTAAAACTAGCAAATTAATTTGTGAGGTGACTTATTTGAGTGAAAGTCTTTAAACATCCTCTGGAGAGCTATTGTGAAATCACTAAACACAAGGCACTATATTTAGAATGTGTGTTGTGTCTATGCTTAGCAGAAGTTATAGGTCTATTTCTGACATAAGGACTGACTTCTTGTGGAATTTCACTGGGAAGAGAAGAGAGAAGGTCTCTAAGTGATAACAAGATATCTCAGTGGTAGATTAAAGAGTGGTCCTAACATGATCTTCGTGGCCAATGATCTCTTCATTTATATTTTAATAAATATTTAATGTGCATCTCTTATGTGTCTGGTCACCTTCTAGCTTCTGGGAATATAGTAAAATCAAAATATATCATGCCCTCATCCTCATGGAATTTACATTCGAAGAGATATCCAAATGAAGAAAATAAATTTCGAGAGTAAGAATTGTAACGAAGGAAATAAACGGGTGATGAAATAGAGTAATGACTGAGACTTTCTACCATGTGTTGAATAGTTTATAGCCAGACAAGAGTAGGAGAGAAAGACAAATTAGGTGACTATTATTGTGCTCCAGATTGGTGACAGTGGTAGCTTGGACTGGGTAGTCACAACTGACGTGGAGCACAGTGGAGAATTCCAATGGCAGGAACAAACATATGAGGAACCAGATGTGTGGGGGAGTGGGTAAAAAAAGAAAGAAATCACTATAACTCTCAGGTATTATGACTTCATCAATTGAGTAAGAGGTGATGCCATCCATTGGGTGAAGACTGAGAGAAGATTCTTGGAGAATAGCAATCAAATACTGCTTTAGACATCATGATTTTGAGGTGACTGTTTTATGTTCAACTTCCTACTGGATATCTAGGTTTAGCACTCAGGAAAGAAGGTAGTCACCAGAGATAGAGGATTTGGACATGAGTCATGTTCACTAGAGAAGGATGGGTCACTTGGTAATCAGTGCCACCTGACTACTATTAGCTATGTGGGTAGACTTCAATATTGATAGCTTGATAAATACTGAACTATTCGTGGGCAATAGAAGCTTTTAGTGCATGAATCTGATATTTTCCTGAAGACAGTGCTAAGAATGACATGGAATCTCCCCTTATAGGCAATATATCTACATGTGGACAGGGACCACATGTGTCTCATGTACTGCTGCCATGCCAACCTCTGGCTCAGTTCCTGACTTACCACAGTTACTCAGCAGGTATTCATGAAATAAGTTATTGTGAAAACAGGCCAAGATCAAACAATGATGTTTGAAGCATCGATTTCTCCCTTTTCCTGGAGAAGAATTTAGGCTCAAAAATGATTGAAACTAGCTTATGTATTTGTCAACCTCTTTTTCCTTCAATGTCAAAGTTTTTTGTTTGTTTGTTTGTTTCAGCATATTGTGGGGGTACAAATGTTAAGGTTATGTATATTGACCTTGCCCCCCCTCCCCTGGAGTCAGAGCTTCAAGCGCGTCCATCCCCCAGATGGTGCACATTGCACTCATTATGTGTGTATATACCCACACCCTCCTCCCCCCTCCCATCTGCCCAGCGCCTGATAAATGTTATTCCTATATGTCCACTTAAGTATTGATCGGTGAAACCAATTTGCTGGTAAGTACATGTGGTGCTTATTTTTCCATTCTTGGGATACTTCACTTAGTAGAATGGGTTCCAGCTCTATCCAGGAAAATACAAGTCTATAAAAGAAATCAATAAGATAAATACTATTGATTGTCAACTAATATCACCAAAAGCTCTTCTCCTGAATTGGTGAGTTAGGGATTTTCCCTGAACACTGCTAGAAAGTGAATAGCTGAAACCACTTGGACTTCCTTAAGTCTGTCTCTCTTCAGAACAACTCTCAGACATTGCTGGTTGGGGCCAAGAGTCCCCAGGATGTTTCAGTTTTGTCAACATGAAGTCATCAGAAAACAAAATTAAATATTTTTTTCTGCTTTTATAGTGATTCCCTCCAAACAATGTTTACTTAGCCCATCAGAACTGCCTAGTCTCAGAGAACATTGGAAAATCTCTTTTCATTCCAGTTTATGAGTTTGTTTTATGTGTTTATAGTCACATTGCATTTTTCAGCAAAGAAAAGCATCCCCCAAGTTGATCAAAACTCACGTTATTCACCCACATGATGCAGCTGAGTGCTTGCTCTCTCCAAAGCTTATGAAACTAATTACTCATCATCAGAGGGAGTGGTTTTTAGAATAGGTCACAGACTCTAAAGGCAGTTGCACAGATTTCTATCATATGCAATTTGTTCACCTATACAGGGAGAGGTTCGAACTATGTGGATGTTCACTGGTCATTCAGTACCAATTTTCTAAGTTTCCAGAGCCTCTAAGACCCTACCTTGGGTAATCAACTATGTCTTCCCTTAAATAACTATCTAGAGGAGGATGACAATTTTCCAGAAAAAGTTGCAAACATATTTTGAGAGAAATATTGGAATAAGTATGTAGTGACCAATGAGATTAAGTGAGGAAAAGAACACAATTTGAATATATTCATTCTAGAGTTTTATTTTTTAAAAGTCCTTTATTTTTTATTCATTTTTTTTTCTTTTTCACTTAAAATATTTAGTGGGCTCTTATTAAATGCAGGCAGTAATCAAGGAGAATCTTGAAGACCCTGATACTTACTGTACCTTCTTTGCTACAACTCCCTCATAATTACTTCCCCTTCCTTTAAAGAAAAGAGCAAGTTCTGTTTCTATTATTATTATTATTAGCAGTAGATGCTTATATAAAGAATGCATTAAAAATCACACCCAAATACAGCCACTGACAGTCTGTGACAATCTAATTGCATTCCTGCCATCCCAGAGAAGCTATTTGTCCTCACTTATAATGATGCCATAAATTAACAATCAACTGGAAAGAGACAGTTTTAAATGCAACCTCTTCACAATTTAAAGCAGGTATTTGGTACTAAACACATTACCAGGACAGCTAAGTGTTCCTAGAAAGCAAATGTATTTCTCCTTCTTTTTTTATAACACATGCTATGATCTAGAGGAGAATTGCAAGGCAGCATGAACTGCTCCAAAACATCAACAGTGGGAAAGTGTTGAGTGGCTTTATTTGCACTCCCTTTTTTTCCTGATAGTCTCCTCTTTGTCTGAAGTGGAGCAGGAAACCCAGGAAGAGTTATAAAAGGGAGTAACTCAAAAATTACTCTTTTGCATCTTTTAAATGATGCACTACAGGGCTGTGGTTAAGAACATGGACTTGTGAAGATCTATCAGTTTGACTACAATCTGTCCCTTTCTAGAGCTGTATGGTTCAATGGGGAAACTAGTAGCTATGTGTGGTTATTTAAATTTAAATTAATTAAAATCAAATAAATTTAAAACAGCGAGTTCCACAGGCATGCTGGTTATATTTCAATTGCTCAGATATAGAACATTTCCATTATCACAGAAAGTTCTATCAAACAGTGCTATTCTACAGCAATCATTTTCATTCCCACAGCTGTCATTATATCTCCTTCAACCCATCTTCATTGCCCACTGATACTAAAGCAATCACCTCCCTGCCTTCACCTTTGCCTCCCTTTAATTTCTTCTTTGCTCAGAAGCCACTGCCATCATTTTGAAACTTAAATCAGACCATGATTTTCTCTTCCATAATTTCTCCTTATATTAAAGTAAAATCTAAGCTCATTATGATGGCCCCCAAAACTGTACAAAATGTGGATCATATATATCTTTCTTACTTCACATCCTAACAGTCTACATCATATCCTCATTCCCTCTTTCCCCTTACTACTTCCAAGCTGCAGTACCTTCCAGTCTTGGCGAGTTGATTTCCCTGTCCATCTCCTTCACTCTGAGTGTCTCCTGTCACTTCTCTGAAGATTCACGATGCTCTCTCCAAGAGGATCCATCCACAGGTGGGCATCCACCTACAACTTTCACTTATCTCCTTGAGAGTAGCATGTGCAGCCTGCTTCTAGTCCACCACCTTGACCTAAATCTCACTTGGATTTTTTATTCCTACATTTCAGATTACCATGGGCTTTGAAGGTAAGTCAGATTTCAACATTTAGAGAAGTGGAAAAGAGTGGTGTTTTCTGTCCCACAACATTAAAACTAGTAAGCCTTCCTCTGGCTTTCTATAGTAGTAGAATAGCTGTTCTGTTGTAGTATATCATTGATTTATTCAACAGTTATCAACTGCCAACTATATACTAAGTTCATGGTAATAAGCCTTATAGTACTAGTAAATAACTTATTTTACCCATAGGACCTTATAGGTCTTCAGGTCATGGAGCACATCTATTTTTTATTGTCCATTCTAGCATCATGCAATAAACATACTAGGAGCCCTGTGTTTATTAAATAAAAAATAAAACAAGACCCATCAGTTTCAAAGTGATTCTTGAACCTGAAGGAACCTGAGGGCACCTCTTGACAAAAAATGAAACAGCTCAAACTTACTACAAACTATGGCCAAAAGAAATGTTTCATTTTCAGAAATATTGAATCAATGCCACACATTTGGAAAAATCTCAGACATCAGGAAAAGTGACTCACTGTATGACATCTCCCCTGGAGGTTTAAGCAAAGGCAAATTAATTTCAGCAGTTGGCCAAATATGGGCACTCCTGCAGGGTAAGAGGAGCTAAGGTCTTGGGGTAGATTTTGATCAGCATGAAAGTCTCCTCAGGAAGGGAGACAGGGAGGAGATAGTATTTGAAAAGCAGTTTATGGATGGATGTGCAGCCAAATGGCTTGATGGCATAAAAGGACATAGTTCTCAGGCCACCATCCCTGCAAAATAAATTTTCCCATCCATATAACAGGACTGGGCTACTTTCCAGTAGTTTGGTTTACAAGGATGTATGTATCTTGAATCATGGATGAAAAAGATATAAATGCTAAGACTAGAATTACATCAATATGTAGATTAAGTTACAAATATAGATGTATATAGCTATAGCTATATTTAAAGATGTATACATAGATATTATTGATATTGAATAGTTCTCTGTAGACAAGTCATCAGTATGCATTGGAGTGTATCAGAATTATTTGTGGTTTTCAATATATATATATATATATATATATATCATATGGATAACTGATATTTAAAATCCATAAAGTAAGCATTCCAAAGAAGTGTCTCTTATGATTACCATGCAAATTCTTGGAAACCATTGTAATAGGCATCCATTAAAGTGGTTCAGTTTCCTTTTTTAATTTCTCACCAAATGATATTTGAAACCAAGTAAATTCTCTAAAAGGAAACAATTTCCTCATGTTCAGTTGTTTCAAACATTTTAGAGAATATAAATCATATTTTATAGTGTTCATTATCCTTTATTATAAAAAAATAGTAATCCTGTTAAATATGACTTGCATGTGGCCACCCAACTCCTTCCTGAATATGTCAACACAACCACTCATACACACACACACACACACACACACACACATAAATGTATGCATACACCTCATAATTTTAGATATTTCATCAATTTTCTTTGCAGTCTCTAAATAATATATATTTTAATAAAATATATAAAACATATATTAATATATGCAAATAAATATATATGTTTTATATATATATATTAGTCACGTACTATAAATCTTCAAGTTCACACAGAAAAAATATACTTTATTAAATACATTTTTAAAAAAATATTTTTAAAATATATATATTATTTGCCAAACTATATTTCTAGGTAACTTGTACTTATTTACCTCAATAATTCACTTGCTAATTTTATTTAAAATAAGTCAATTTTTTTCTTCCACAGGATAATACATAAGATGTTATACATACCTCCCAATACGTCCTCAAATTATATATCTTCTCTTCCCTGGATTACACATCCTCAGTATACTATATGAAAGGAGGGTTCATCAAATACTATGTGGAGCTATATAAAATTGTGAATATTTGATAATATTTTTATTACTTTTAATAATTTCCCATGGTTTATCCTAATACTTATATCACAATTAGCTATCTACTATATTCAAATATTCACATCAGGCTAAATACACTATTGACCCCGGGATGTTCATCTTTTGGTATGAAAGATTGGTTCAGAGCTGATTCAACACCACTGTAGGCTTTGAAGAACAGTAATATAATGTTTACAAGATATATAATTAGCAACATTCACTCTCTTGGACTTGGATAGGCAGTTATAGAATGCTTATCAGAAATATCAAAATGGGGTTTTGAAGTGAGAATACAAGTTTACCAGAGGAAAAAAAGAAGGAATGACAGTCTAATCAAAGTAAACAACAAATGCAAACAAGGAATAAGGCAGCAAGGTGAATTTAGCAACTAAAAGCAGTTTACTTTTGCTCTAGCATTAAGAGGCATCTTGTGTGTGTGTGTATTCATTTTAGAACAGTAAAAGATGAAGCTGGAGAGATAGTCTGGGACCAGATTTTGTAATGTTTTTCAAGTCATACTAAGGAGCCTGATTTGATGTGGGTCAAATTTTTTTAACTAAGTTATAGATTTTATCCAACTTTAGTCATAAAATGGTCTAATGGCTGCTCCCTGAGGATGAGTTAAAGATGAAAGAGTCAGAGAAAGAGGAAATAATTAGAGAATTTTCCATATAGTTCACAGCACCATTATTTCCTTCTTGTTGAAGTAGCATAGGAGAAGGGAAGAGAAAGCGATGGTTTTCAGTAATACATGGAAAGTAAAGTCAGCAGAACTTGACAATTGATTAGATGTCAGGAATGAAAAAGGGAGAGTAGTCCTAGGTAACTATGCACTGGTTTGAATGACTCAGAAACATGGTGCTGCCACTGCTTGAAACAAAGAACGCCAGGCATGTGAGGAAGCAGGTATATTGGCAAGGTGATGTCATCAAGGTCGTCTTCACCAGCTTGCAGGAAGACTCTTTTCCACATCTGCAGCTCTGCCACAAAAGGAAATATATTGGATACATCCATTCATACAGATTTGTGTCTTAAAATTGCAGTTTGAAACAAACATTATTGTTTGCGCAGATAAAAGGAACCTATGTTATGAGGTGAGGATTTATTTGAAATAAAAACAAGCAAGAAACGTCAAATTATCATTCTTGGAATAATATTCATTCTTTCCCTTCTTAAACGTGTGCATTAGAATATCATTTATTTTTTGTTACAATCATTTGAAATATAAATGCTGTTTATCTTTTCTTTAAATGTGGAGAAAAAAGTAGGTTCATTAATGTTGTTGGAGGGATTAGTGCAAATTCCTAAGAATGCATTATTTAAATGAAATTATTTTCGGATCGAGGATCATTGAGATTTAAGAGACAAAAGATGAAGAAAAGAAAAATTCATTAGTCACTTACTGTAAATCTTTAGCTTCACATAGACAACTTACATAAACTCAAAAAATGCTAAAAAAATTATAGCTATTTTACACAATAAAACAAAACTACTGAAAATCATTATCAAAGTGTTTTTCAAATCTCAACTGGTGTTTATTGAACAGAGTCTGTGTATTATACGCTTCATGTCATGGTTGGAGTCTCCAAAATGGACTGATAATTTATATTTCCAGGAAACCCACGTTCTTGTGTATCTCTTCTTCTTAAGTGGGAACTGACCTTAATAACACACCTATATGCCTTCTGGAAATGCAGGGCTCTCTAGGACTAATTGTGGTAATTCTCATATTTATGCAACATTTACTTCAATGGTTTTATTTCTGACCATTTTCTGATCCCTCCTGCACAGACAATCCAGTCAAGATTATGGTACAGCTGCTTCAAACAACCTGCTGCTTCGGCTGCAACTGGGAGCAACTAACTTTCCCAGCAAGCTCTGATTAGCATTTCGAGCTTGACAAGTGCTTTCCTTTCCGAATGTGACTGCAGGAGTGATTGTTGTCACCACCACACCTTAGGCTTCTACTGCACACATAGTCTGTGGTTTGCCTCTGCTTACTGAAAACACAATCTTTTGCTGACACACTGTAAATGTGAGCCATTTCTCCTGCTTGATAGACATGTGTACCTTTTGAGGGGGAAGTAATCTCATGCAAAGGATGCTAGGAATGGATTTAGAAAGTATCTGGGTTTGGTTTGAGTGTATAGGGTTGGAACTGGCATTTGTGAGTTGCTTTTGTGTGTTTGATACTTGTGATACATTGTTTAATACCTGCCTAACAAAGGTAGGTATTGTGATTGACTGGTGTTGGTGGTGAAGATTGAGAAAATTTAGTGGAAGGACTATGAATCCAAGGCCATTTAAAGTGGACTTCTCTTCTCTTGGACTGGTAAATATCCAATATTTATTGAGCACTCACCATGTCCAGAATACTTTATCTTCAGTCCTCCCATCAGCTCTTCAAGATAATGTGTATAGTTTTTCAGTCTGCAAAATGGGGGTGAGGAGTTAGATAAATGTCTCACAGGCATAGATAATTAGTAGTAGACTTAGGGCACTGAAATAGCTTACATTTGAACCCAGACACAGAACCCTGTTCACTAGATTTATGTGGCTATTATGAGTAATATTAATAATAACCAGAAAAAATGAAGTCAAAATAAAGAAAGTAATAAAATAAAAGGAATGAAACCAGGAGAAATAGATAATAAAGTGAAAGGAAAGAGAGAGGGAGAGGGATGTAAGAGAGATGTAAGAGAGGAGAGAAAGAATGAAAAAAGAAAGAAAGACATAAGTAAATAAATAAAGTGTTCAGAGTGAATTTAACACAGAAGTTTCAGAAAAAGCATAATCCTTGCTCCATAAAGGCAAAGATAGCAATAATCATAAGTGTTCATCATGTATCAGCTACTTTGCCTTTAGGGTTGTTGCAAGGATTGTAAGAGATAATCTGAACTAAAAGTATTGTCTTTATGTCTATTTTATATATGAAACATCTAAGGCTTAGAGGAGCTAAATAACTTGCCAAAGGCACACAATGTAAAATCAGGAGGGTGCAGACTTGACAAGTAGTCAGACTCGCAGGCCACAATCTCAATCACTAAACAATACTGTCTTCTGTCTCATGCTCATGTTTCTCATCAAGGTACATTTTGAGGAGACAACAGTTTGGATCTTGATATTAAAGCAAATGAAATCAAAAGATATACTTCTGAATCCTACACCTCTACTTTAACTCTGTGTGGGGCTGCCTGATGAAATACAGGAATCCCAGTTAGATTTGAATCTCAGATAAATATTGGACATTTTTGTTTGTTTTAATTATAACAACATACCAATATGGCACAGGGCATGCTTACATGAAATTATTGTGTATTGTTTAGCTAAAATTCAAATATTAAATGGGCAGCCTCTGTTTTCATTTGCTAAATGTGAGTTTGAGGAAGTTCCTGGACCAAATCTTTTCCACTGCATAATGTTGTTAAATAATGGTTTCTTGCTTACCTCACAGACTTTTTGAGAAGATTAAGTAGGAAAGTGGGTGCAAAGGCCTTATTAACTTCTGCCATTTGTGTTAAGGGCTGTGTCAACAACTTTTTTGAACTTATTTAAATAAATCTAATATCCCATTATGTTAAATAATACATTAAATAACCCTTGCCTTTGATTGTGGTATTCTTTGTCCAGCTGATGTAATATAACCTTCCACCTAATTTAGAGAAATGTTTCTTCATTGTTCACTTGCTTATTATTATTAGATGCATCAAAATTATAAACATGGGATTAGAAAGATACTCTTTATGAATGCTAAATACTTGTGCATCTAAGGATCATGGTGAGTATCAAAGTAACTCTACTTCTTACAAATGTTTTTTGCACAAAGGAATGCTGTGTAGGGGTTTGTCTTGTGATAGTAATATCAGTGATAAAAGATATACATCAATTAAGATTTAAAGGGATGAGATATCTGTTCAATGATGCAGATGTTAGCATTTCCCTAGTAAATGCAAGTCTCTAGACAAAGAGAAAAATAGTGGCTCCTAATCCTGATTTGCTGAATTTGCCCATTGTTTCTATGAAAACCTGGGGAAAATTTAAATTGGGGTGAAGAGGGAGTTAGTCAATCTGAGATCTTGAGTCATCTACATTTAAAAGTGGTACCGTAACCTAGCAAACTGCTTACACATCTAGATGAGAGGGAACAAATAGATTCAACTCAATTTTGTATGATGATCCAGTTGATCCATATTTACATAAGTAGAATCAATGGATGGTGCAGATGTCAGCAAAATATTAAATAGTCTTTGACATGCATTTCAATCTCAGTTTGCATTGGAATCCTGGGTCTTTTTCCAATTTCAATTTCTAATTGTTTCAATGAGATCCTGCAAAATTCTATAAATCTGACCTATTTTACATAAAATTTAGATTTAATTTTATAGATTTTTCAGGAAAAAAAAATGCTGGTCAATAGAACGTTTTGAATATTGAAAAACAGTAAGAGCCAGATTTGAAATAAGAGTTTAAGTTACTTTTCCAGTGGACCTTGCAAAAATTTAAATAATTGAATTTTATCGTTTATTGGTGAGTGGCTCTATGTCTCAAACTTGCTTGTCAGCTGAAATTTATTTCCCAAGTAGGGCAAAAGTCCAAAAAACATGTTATTCATTGCTGTAACCATTTGAACATTTTTAAAGTGTATTTGTAAAACTACAAACCTAATTCAGTAATGTATTAAAATTATCAAAAGTTCAGCAAATCATGCATTGCATCCAGATTCTGATACATGCTAGATTTCCTGTTTTTACAAGTCAGCGGCTTTCTGATGATAATCATTTGAATTTCAAATGATAAAATTTATAATATATCTAGCATAGCCCTAGAATGCATAAAAAATAAGAGGGCACCCTTTAGAGAAATTTAAAAAGAATTGTGCATTTCATAATTTGATATATGTAACATAATCCATTATACGCCGGGGCTTATATTGTGCCAGCAAACATAAAATAAAAGGGATGGAGACTCCTGT